AAAGATTGCTTTTGTCAAGGCAGACATATTGGACGTTCATTGAGAAGTATTTTTCGTCACGATTGTGAGAATACATCAGCTTGAATGAGTCATCAGTTCACGTACTTTCATAGCTTGTAGTTAGTACTGGTCAGGTAAATTTCGATTTACATTTCAAGCATAGTAATAAAGAATCTTACAAGAGAGAAAATATTTAAGAAAAAAACTGATAGAAGTCAACATTTGAATCTGTTGGCTGTTTTTATGCAGAAGATTTTGTTTCGAATTGGAACTTTTTTGCCACTTACTTAGACCATTGGGCTACCTGAATTTCTGTCCAGCATAGTGCATCCACCTTTTTTCGTTTCTCGTTGTAGTTTTAGTCTTTGAATTATGTCGCTGGACTGCATCATGAACTCACGCAGATTTGTATTGTATTTTCCGCCTAACTCTGTGTACTCCAGTAAAACAAAACTAAGAAAAAGTGTTGTAGAGGAATGAAGTTGCTTCATACGATTCACGATCGATGAATATTTTACTTAAAGATTCTATATGGGGAGTAAATATTTTGTAAGAAATTACTCTGGGAGTTCTGTATTTTATGTAAGCATAATTTTCAGAATAAAGCCAAATATTATTATTATTATTATCATTATTGTGTGAATAAATAATGCTGCCCTTAGATTAAGTTATTTCGTCATTGACCTAGCATAGTTTCATGTGTCTAGGAAATACATGTATTTTTGTCAAGTAAAGTTGGAGTTACAGTTAAAGACCAGTTTACCTTTTGTTCTGGTAATTTCATTTCTCATCAAAGTAGACTGTATTAAGGCAGAACAGTCATAATCAATAATCATTTGAGGTACCTATTACGCTCATTATCTTGAGAAGATTGAATAATTTAGTGTAGTCTGAAATGCAAAAAAAAACTAAATACAACATATGATGGCAACGTTATAACTTGTGAAAAATATTTCCAACAGTTGGAAGCTGTTTAGTCAACTTACTAGCGAAAAGAACAAGAAGTTCAGCAAAAATGGCGATCTTTTCGGTGATTTCATTCCCAAAAGCTGTATAATCGCAATTATATACATTAGTTTACATGGATACAATTATTATTGATTTAATTCCACATAGTAACGAAGGTGTTAACTTGATTTGAAAGTTTGAAGGTACGAATATACATTACAAGGGGCTTAGAGACAAGACTACATAGGATTAGAAAACAGTTACAACGTATTCAAAATTAATATTTGATAATTGAAGAAATAATTTTAAAGGCGAATAATAGGTGACAATTATTTTCAACTAGATATGGTTTACGAGAGGCTTAGAAACAAAATTACACAGGATTAGAACGAATTACAAGTGAGCATCGAAACAAATTGAAATAATAATTTTCAACTTGAAAAGGAAGCTAGGAGGTGTGAATATAGATTACAAGAGCCTTAGAAACAAAAATTACACAGGATTAGGGTATAACTGTAAAGTAGTTATTTTAAACGAATTATAAATGTGAGCAGGAAAAGCATGGAAACAAACTTAAAATAACTGATTTTATAACTGAAAAAATGGGATGAATTGAATGAAGACAAAGAGAGAAAAATACACACAGAAAACGAAACAAAAAAACTGAAGGATACGGGAACATACCGAACTAGGTCCACAGTAGTTGTGAAGGCTGGACTAGTTTCTTTTGAACACACAGCTCCCGCTTTTCGATGTGTATGGAGAGAGCTTCTGCAGTACAAAGAAGTCGGAAACACACTGCCTTTGGTAGATTTTTGTTTACTTTGTAAATGACTCTGAATGATGAGTCAGTTGAGACGCTGTTGGAATTTAATGGTTTGGCCATTGGATTGGGTCCCAGTGGCTTAATGGTTTACAAGCTTGTCTAGTAACCGCAATGTCCTGGGTTCGTACCACAGTTCTCAAAAAAGAGTATTCTATATTCCATAGGACTTCGAAGGCTCTTAGCAGGGTTAATGGCCTGCCTATAACTCAGTTAACTGACATGTTTGTTGATGTAGATTTTAATTCCTGCAAGAGATATTGGCTTAAGTGATCTTGTGGTATACTGAACATCCTCTCTTTGTTTGAAACTTTCTCCTTGTATCTTTCGACGTAAAATTAGAATAAATTTCATAAGAATTTATACTCATACTGTTATTTATAAAAATCCACATATACTATATTTAGAATGGATGTTGTGCTGAAGAGACGAATGTCAGAAAAGAGCTTATAAACCTATTCTATGATCCCTTAATTTGCAGCGACTAATCAACGATATCACTACTGAAAAATTATTTTTCTGTTAATTTTCAGTTTTTGTATTGAATTACTGAGACAGTGTTGGGTGAGCCAGAAAATGTGTTGCCCGCGAAACATGAATTTCATTAGACAAATTGCTTCTGCTTCTATTTCTGTATAAGGTGACTATCCTTCTTATTGTCCTATTCTTATTTCATTCAAATATTTAACCATACTCGTTGATATGTTTTTTCTTAACATTCATACAACTAGAAAGCTTGAAAAGGAAATCGTTGTAAAGAAATATTTCTTCACTGAACCTTGAGCATATTTCGAAATATTTATTCTCTCCAATTTTAGACACACTCACATTCTAATTAATGAGCCTTGTGTTCTGATAAATGTTTTTGTTATTCTTTGTGCTTCAGTATTTTACCGGGGGAGATTTTTCTGCCAGTCTAGATATCGTCTTCACTGCAGCCCGTTTCCCATGCGTATTCATGAAACTTTTCCTTCTCGAATGTACAATTTACAAATTCGGTCAACTGGCTATTGTCAGTTTGGCTTCTTAGAGGTTTGTTTATTGTATCAAGTTTCGAATATTTGTCTTCAGTTTTCATTGTTATCATTACTCTTATTTCCCCTCTTCTTATTCGTCTTATATTATCTGACTGCGAATATCACTTAGTGTCAATTTGGATGAACGATGAAGTAAGTAAATAATCATTGATGAATGTAACTCAGTTATCCTTAGTTGCATAAATCTCCCTTAAACTAATGAGGTTGTGGTAACAATTCGAATGAAAACTTCGGCTGCTAAAACTAGTTGACTAACGATCAGCATACCAATCAAATGACTAAATTAAGCTCATTTTAGAGCTGGTAATACCTTCTTCTGTAAAATTATTTCTTTTTCTGTACTTATGTTTTGAGTTTCTGTTTCTATATGGAGGATAAATGATTAAGATTCCATCTTTAAATAAAATCGAACCTGTCATCTGAAACATACATATTTCAAGTTGAAAATTCTTCACAGCTTCCTCTGGAATCACAGCGTACGGTTTGTTTGATACCATAAATGAAAAAATTATAAAAAGCGAAATCATATAGTGGTATTTATTACTGACTCGTACAGGTAGTTGGAGAATATTCACGTCCACAACGAAAAAAACAGCCGTCTAGTGTTTGGATTATTTCGACCTGACCCTACAAGTACTACTGCCTGATACGAGTAGCTACCGATTAATCATGCTAATAAGTAGTATGAGCTATCATGCGATTTCACTTTACAGTCTCAGTACAAATGTGGACTAGTATACCCTACTTCAGAGATATGAATGAAATGTAGATTTTATTCGATATATTCTGAGGAGATCGTAATAGGGGGGGGGGGCACCGAATGAAACGCAAACGGGAGGTGATGGATTAGGTGACGAAGTGAAATATGGAGATCATGTATGGATAAAACGAAAGCTCGTGGGCGGCGGTGCCAACAACTGAGAGTGATATCACAAAAATGTAGTGCAATGGATAGTTGTTGCTGAGACTGTGTGTTTCACTCGGAGCGCAATGCTTGAATAATAGAAATATAATAAGAATACACTTCTTGTAATGCTTGATCTAATACATTCAATCATGCTGTAGAAGAACGCATACCAGTAACCTGACGAGAGAGTATAGATACAGAAATGTAACACGAAGCAGAACACGATAAAATTTACCATTTCTGTTGGTAATTTGCATAGGGAACACTTCTGCATTTGTAGTCTTTGTGTTCTGCACCATGAAATCAAAGTGGCTATACGTGATGATATGCACTCATAGTGTATTGCTGTCATACTTTTTCCCTGTAGAATTAAATTAAATCTTTGTTCAGTGATTCCTATTTTACAACACACTATACTATATGTCACAATACATAAAGTGTTTAGACTTGTGCTCGAAGTATTTCAAAAACAGGATGGGAAAGTTGACTAGGAAAGTTTGCGAGACGGTTTTCCTCTGACATTTTTATAACTATGTAATTGATCTTTTCACTGTCCACAAACCTCTTGATAGAAAATTATACATTGTTCACTATTCCGTTTGTTTTGCTTAGACCAGTGTAATAATTACAAACACGCAGACACACACGTATATATATACAAAGAATTTTACATATTATTATTGTCATCATTTGTTTTTCATTTTGAGCAGTCTACCTGTTTGTGTTGATTGCTGACAAGTATATTTTATTTCGTGTTCAATGTTATCAATAGTAGTATTGATACTTCTTTGTCCAGCTACTTTTCACGCCAGAATACAATGGCGACAGTTTGAAAATATTTTAAAGGCAACAAATTATTTTAAAAAATAACCAAAAAGGATAGAGGAAATCAAAACAAAGTTAGTTTACCTTCCTTTGTCACATCCTGGTTTATATACATATACAGTATTTATGTGTAATAGCTTTAAGAAATGCAAACGCTGGAATTGTGATGAAAATTAAAAAAATAGGAGAGAGACGAAAAGAAAAAAAGGGAAAAAAAATTCATTCTCTCAATAAACTGTCTTATGTAAAGGTAATAGTTGACAAGGCTGGTAATTTTGTAATGGTAACGACAAGAACAATAATAATAATAATGAATTGTTAATCATCGCTGAAGAATGCAAAAGGTACACAGAACAGCTGTACAACCAATAACACCTTCATGTTAACTTTTTGTCAAAATAAAATACAAAGTTTTTCACTTGCATTTTTATTCCATTATCCATCTATTGGTTCTTTATTGTCAGCTTCCTTTAGGACGATTTCGTCTTTTAATTACACTTGGCGTGTAATGATATTTATTACCTGTTTGATATGTTAAGAAACGATTTTTTGCTTGTAGACAGTTTTCTTCCACTGAACTTATCTGTGTTTTACGGAGTTTTGTTTCAATATTTTTACTGCCACTACTACAACTACTAGTGTTATCACCATAACCGTTATCACAGGCATCAATAAGTTCATCATCATCATCATCGTCAGTGTCCTCATCACTGTCATCCTCATCATCTTCATCCTCTAGATCTTCTTCAATATCTTCTTCTCTGAGTGTCTGTAGATAGTGATTTCTTGTATGTAGGTGCCTAGACAGTAATGAAGATTTATAATTTGATCGTTTCAAACAGTCGGAAGAGCCAGTTGGAGTATCTAATGAAACATTTGTGCCATAGTGTTGTCCAGATAACAGTTTGAGTAAACGATCCTCAAGATTACTGCTACTGTTATTACTTTGATTGACCTTTTCACTATTCTCTTTCACCTCCGTTGGTGTTGTTGTCGTCGTTGTCGTCGGCGGTGTTGATGTTGTTAATGCGGATGCCCCAGTTGTTGAAGGTGATGAATTCAGTGTTATTGAATAGGTAGCTGTGTTTGGTGATTGCTTACTTGATTGTTTAATATTGTTTTCTTTTTCCAGATTTTCTTCTCTTGGCTTATTTGAACTTCCTGTGAAGTGAAAAGATGAATATGTACACATAGTGAACAGTGATTAGTTTGAAACAACAAGATTAATACATCGGCTTCACTGTCATCGATTGTGAAACCACCATGAAAAATAACAATACAACCGAGGAGAGGAAGTGGTTGTAGATTTACACTGGGTGACGAATCAATTACCGCAAAATGTTTTGATCTCAGAAAATAACACATCATTAATTAGATTTGTGAGGTTTCAGGCAAACAGCAGGAAGCCCTTCACTTAGGCTTCGTGTTCATTGGAAACTGTCAGTAGGGCATATCTGCAGTCACGAAGAAACTGATACCATTCTCGGAGATTCGAACCTTTATTTTCCCTCTTTGCCTTGCGAATGGAGCAAAGGGATTCAAACTTCAAGCTTTAAATTTTCTGTGGCGGTTTTCTACGGGGAGGGGTTAACTACGTATCCTAGGATCTCAGTGCAAGACTCGCTAGCATTATACCATTGGACAGCCGTGTCACTCAGTGCAACAATCAGAGAGCATTACTATGAAGAGGGCATCAGTTTCTGCAGGTACTCCTTGTTGATAAGTGTCAATAAAGACAAATTTTACATCAAAATCTTCTTATTGGTTACCTCCAAACGCTTAGCTTCAATACCAAGTGAACCCTGATGCAGAGTCACCAAGCTTAGTGACCACATTGAGACTAGAATAATAAAATTCACACTGCTGTTGATAACCCTATTACGTTAAATATCCAGGGGAGTGGTAGAGGAAGTTGTAAATAATGAGCAGTTAGGTTCTATTTGCTACGTAAACTATTAACTGTCATAACTATCTCTTTTTAAATCGTGGGTGGACACTGTAACAGAATTTCTCTTGTGTGTACTGCATGTTTGTGAGACAATCCACCTTCAGTTAATTCAAGCCCGATACTTGCGTTTTTGTTAGATATTAGCATTGTACACTTGTATTACTTGATCATTCTACTCATAATAAAAGTTCAGTGTAAATTATTTTCTCAAAGTTCTATCAATTTTTCCATCAACAGATTTTTTTTTACTGATTTCCTACTGTCAACACCGCACATTATTGTTTGTTTGTGTAAGTGAATCTCAGTTATTTTTCAACAATAACAAAGACTATCATAGAATAATTTTAATGGTTCTTAGATCAACTATCTGCATTGTTTTTCCTTTTAAAATAATTCCCTTACTAACATTAACAGAAAACATACCTAATTCACTTTCTTACAACGCCTACATTGACATTGAAAGCTATTTCAATTAAAACTGGAGCCAAAAATTAGAACCAGAAGTAACAGTATACGTAAAATATGACCTAGAAGTACTTCCTATCATGCAGAATGTTTTCAAACGTTGATTTCTATGTTATTAAAAAAATGTGCTTGTGGTGCTAAATATAGTTGACAGAGAGGGACATGGTTGGCATTCTTGGCTTTAAAATTTCTACATTCAGCATGGATATTAGAAAGCTTACTGTACATTGGAATAAATGTGTCTTTTAAACGTTTCTTCTCCCACAAACAGAAAACCTTACCTTTGTTAATACAAACATACATTGCCACTTCTCTATACTCTTGGGTCCCCTAACATAAATAGGTGTTTTTTCTACAGATCCTGTGTCTGTCTTCAGTTACAAAAGTAGTGAACTTGACTGAATTTTTATCAACATAGACCTTGGAACAAAGTGCAGCAGTTCAAATTGCAACACTTCATAGACTGCACATAAATGTAGCAAAGAAAGATGCAGAAGAGGTGATATAAACAGAAATTTAGGACAGAATGAGTAATTACAAGGAGAATAATGGGAATTTAATCGATCCTAGTAATTGCAACTGTACTATTGAGAATGATTTTAAGCCATATCTCCAATGGTCTCCAGCTGTTGATTCAAAGACGACTTAAATTTATACCGTATTTTCATATGACCACCCCTATTACTACTTTCCAACCTAACACTACCCGTCAAGGAAGGCAATGGATCGGCATGAGCAACAATTGTTCTAGCCATCTTAGTCGATTCACCTTCACAACATCATCGATCGACTTACCGTCCTTACCTAATACTCTACGCCCAACCTCACTATTACTGAGTATATTGTGCTACTTAACACGGGAGATAGAACACAGACACTTATGGTCAAAGACTAAGTAAATCTACAGTGGACTAGAAGGGAAACTGACAATATATTTTCTTCAGTGTAGGAAAATATTACTCAACAATAAACCACATGAGGTAAAATTTCGTGTTTTATATTTTCATTACTACAGAAAATTTATTTGATGTGATGGTCATATGAAGCTGAATTCACTATCTTTTCTATTTAAGGCTGTCTTTACAGTTACAGTAAGCTAAACAATTCACTTAAATGAATTAATGGGAAAAATTATACCATGATACCGGTATTTGATTGGCTATTTATTCAGTTACTTCGATTTTATCGCCGTTGTTTTCTTAATAGTAAAATATCATAAGAATGCAGTATTTTAAGTACCAGTTACGTAGGTTGCGGTTGAGATTATAATATGAACTAGAACTAAGACATTCTTATCCAAACGAATTTATGTAGTCCGGCAAAGTATTGGATACTATTAGTAATACATTTGTGTGTAGCCTAGCAACGAATTAAGTACTTTCAGCAACAGTGGCTTTTCAAGAAAGAATCTAATTAATAATTATTTAAAATATACCTTTTATTGGGTAAAAGTGTAGACAAGTTCAGTCATTTATTGAAAGCCAGAAACCGAAAATAAAAATCTGTACTATATGATAAACTTATTTTTTTCAAGTATTGGTTGAAGATGACGCAGTAATTCATTGAAGAAGATATTGGGAAGTGGTAGCGCTATGTCATGCACTGGCTGGCCATTGGGTTGGATCCCAGTAGCTTAGTGGTCAACAAGTTCGCCTTGTGACCAGGAGGTCCTGCGTTAGAACTCTAGAACTGGGTGCGGACCGTGAAGAGTCCCAGAATAGGATGAAACGGCTATCCAGCTGTCAGCTCATGGTGAAATTCTCCAACTAATTATTATAATTAGTTGATCAAACTGGCTTGTATGAACATTTCTTTATCTGTAGAATTTTTGAGACAGCTAATTGTTTCTGAACTTTGTAATATTACTAGTAGATTATGTTTTTATCTTTACTTAGCACTCTACAGTGTTAAAACACTGTAACAATGGCATATAATAGAATTATGAAAATTAGGTAGATTTTTTGGAATGGATTTTAGTTGGTTCATATTACTAATTCAGTAAGCGCAGTTGAAAACCACTTTCATCAACCACTAGTGTTCACCTGCCAAATCAATGGAATTCGAACATCAGAAGTTGTTTGGCTGCACTCTTTTTGAATCAAACTCATCAGCAGTACAAATCAGATATCAAGTCATCCATAAGCTTTAGATATATCTTTCCAGAAAGTCAAATTTGTAATAAAACATGCCCAATGAAAACTCTTTTTTCTCCATGGATTTTTAAGGCAGAATAGAGAAACTTATTAGAAATATAATTGTTAAAATAAACTCTTGAAGTGTATGATATCTGAGCTTTCCCTGCTAGTGTCCACATAAGCTTTTAAAGAAGGTAAATCACTATCAACGGGTAAAATCTAAAGGGATTCGTCCGTTTCACTTATCTAGAAAGCGGCAAGGATGAGAATTTAAAAGCCAACCAGGTTCACTAAGGCAAGACAGGCGGTCATTGCTATGAAGTCCTTGTGAAAATCTATCCAACAGAAGCAATAAGGCTCGAATTTTTATCACTGATTTCAAGTCAGTCACTGCTTCTATATATCGTTCAGAGAATTAGGGCAAACATCAGCGAATGCATTTCCAAAAGGTTGTAGGCTTTCTCCAGCAGCCATCCTTGCTCAGATCAGATAGTCAGGTAGGAAGGATAAGGAAATTAAAACTTCCAAAGAACCCAGCTAGTGTGCGGAAGGTGACGGAGATGGGTTAGCTATGCTCTGAAGGGATATTTAAGTGAAATTACATACCATCAAGTAGTATCCAGATGGGAAGCGATGAGTTGAGCACCCAAGTGTAATATGGAGATCATGCGAAGAGGAAATGAAAGTTTGTGGGTAGTCAAGGAGTCAGCTGCAAGTGATGGCATAGAATGGAGATATGTTGCTGAAACCTTGCGTTCCACTGATAATTCAAGAAAGGAGTGGTGATAATAAATTGCCTGACACATGAAATTGCATTCCTACTGGTTGAGTTCAGACCAGTTATAGGAGAAAATGGAAAAATAGGCTGAATATATCTGTGCCAGTAAAAATAACTTTGGGTTACGCCGCAAAGACTATTCAACCATTGGTACATGACATCTTGAAGATCTTAGCCAAGAAGTCGACGCCTCCTCATGCAGGTCAGATAAACATTGGAAATAATATAATGTTAGGTGAGTTTATTTGATATAATACACAACGACAAAACGATGACGACGTTTAGAGTACAATTTTTTGCTCACAATCATACCATTGTATTCTCATGACATCATAACTTGCTTACAGTATCATAACCCCTGCTGTTTTTTATTACTACTTTAAACATATCTGGTAATGGCATTGCTTCATTTCAATTACATGTGTTTAGTAGTGATTCAGTGAACAAAGATTCCTTAATTAACCTGTCTATCTCCCTCCCCGCCTAACTCTATCACAATTTGATACTGCTACTCTATCCTACCTATTGTGTAATTACAAGTGAATCGATGAATAACACTGACTGAGGTTTCATCCATATTAGTTAATTTATCATCATCATTATTTATTCGACATTTAAGTAAATTACTATGTTCGGATAATCTAATTGACCACGATCTACAAGTATTAACACTATAATTAACCTAACAGTCGTTACATGACATTTGGGAAATTGTTATTTTCCCTAATTAGACCAGTTAGGTCTTTCAGGTCACTGAATGAGTTTGTTGGTTTAAATGTCATATGGAGAATAGAGGTTTTGAATTTCTTATCACTTACAATATTTTCTGCAAATGGTTTGTAGGTATTTTGTTTGATTGGTTGGTGGATTTCATCATGAGCTGACATTAGTTAGAGAACCACTGGGAGATCAGCAGCGAGTACTGAACATCTGTTTCGTTCTAGTTTGGAACTCCTCGTCAGTACGCACCCACCGATGAGGACAGTTACTTATCGAAGAAGACATTGCGAAGTCGTCGCACTGTCATGAATTGGCAGAAGTTGGAATTCATGGGCCATTGGGTCGGGTCTTAGTGGCTTAATGGACTGTGAGCTTGCCTTGTAACCGGAAGGTCCTGGGTTTGGACTCTATAGGTGGGTGTGTGCAGTCGAAGAGTCTCACACCAAGACGAAACGACTGTCCATTACCCTTTGGTTTTCCAATGGTTCTCTATCTGATATCAGCTCATGATGAAATCTTCCAACTGATATTATTTTCATACATTTCTGAATAAAGTCTGGTGAGTAGCTCTGACTAGTAATGTTTTTCTTAATTTCTCGTAAGAATAAGTTGAAGATGGTAATGAAAACAGCAGGGAGTTAGGACATTGAAAGCAGGTGATGAAGTCATGAGAATACAATGGTATGACTGGGAGCAACAAATTGTACTCGAATCGTCGTTATCCATCTATATATCAAATTATACCGAATTTGACTCTTACGTAAGACATGCAGTATGTTCGTAGGTTGGTGCTTTTTATGATGGTGCCCAAAATATTTTTCTACCTAATCTAAATTCGTTTTAGATTACTCACCAAGGTGAGTAGTGTCCTGGAATGCACACCACAAGTCCTAGCCACCTCCATCGATGGATGTGTAAAGTTGTAATGTTTTATCAGAACTAAATGTTAGGTTATCTGACAATGTGCTTCATTTTCTGTGTTAGCTATCAAATGAAAGTTATTCCTGATTGATTTCACTTCATTCTTATACGTACTCATCAAGTAGTCACAGAGGAAGCCATGTTCCCTTAGATATTACCATCTAGGTTATCAAATAATGAAGTTGGATGTGATACTGGAAGGTTGTTCTTTTATTGTTTAAATCTAACCTATGAGGTTTTTAGCATTTTGAGATTGTGAACAAATCACCTCAGGGAAGAATAGAAAAAGTCGCCCAATTAGTTGAATTCCAAGTGATGTACACTATCCAAAGATGAAGAGTATGAGGTTTGTCCCGAAAAACAGTATACTAGTTATGTCGAAAGTAAAAATAATAATGGTGATAAAGTTATGCAAATTATTGACAAAGTTTTATAGTATGTCTAAGAGTTCATCACTTCATTTAAAAATACAGTTAAGAGGACGCATCCACTAGTAGATGAATGACAATGAATAAGCGTACACCACATAAGCAGAAAGTAAAGTGAAGATTGCACAACTGGAGAAGAAGAATATTACAAGTGAGAAGACACATGAAGTAAAGGAAATTGAATAAATAAAAGGTATAGTTGATCATCGAAACTTAGATTCCATGGCAGCTATCAGCAAGGCGTACAATCTTGAGAGAACTTATATTTCCACAGAGGTTCGAATCTGAGTTTTCTGTTACCGTAAAAAAATTCAGTACAGCAGACAGCACTGTCGTATTATTTAGGGTAATAAACATCCAAGTTCCCGGTTAATATGCACTTATGACTTTACTGCATAGATATCTGTTGATCTTTCTTCTCATTCTTTAATAATTACCTTGTGTCTTGTCTTTCAGAAGTTGTGGTAATCTAACTTCAGACTATAGTATTCATTTCCCATACTATAATGACTTTACTGGGTATTACTAACAATTTTAGAAATCATAAATCACATACATCCTAAACTATGTGTACAAAAAACAATGGACTTCGACCTTCGCCTCCCATGGACTACTTGATCTATTTAAATATGATTGGTCATTAGTATGTACTTTTGTTTTTATCTATATAACTGAGTAATTGTCATGCATTTTATTTTATTATTATTGTGAACCATGTTAGTTGTAAAGCCATTGTAAAAGAACTATAAAATGACGATATCATCTCGCGAAATTTGTCTTCTGAATGACTTATTCAAATTTTAGAAATGATTATTCTTACGTATAATGAAATGTTACAATAGACTATTAGGCTTGTAAGTATTTCTTCTTACGGTGTTTATTAAGATTATATTAAATTTTTCATTGACTTGTGTGACTGAGTCACAGTGTCCAGTCTGTCGTGACACTGGCGCTTCGACGGAAGCGTGAAGTTTACACTACAATATTTGATTGATGTTAGCTGGCAGTGGAATCTAGGACTCGTGTCCCTTGCTATTCAGGATTCGTCAAGTGGATATACCTGCATCTTCAATATATGAATGTATTCCTGCTGAGAGTAAAACCTATCAGCCTAGTGAATACTCATATATTCCACTGAAAATTCTCAAATAGAGGAAACCACAAGTCCTGGATTACACTGATAACCACCATAGACCATAAGACTTTCATCTTTCGCTTTATTCAATCGGTATTTTAAAATCCTGTTTCTCTGAACTCAAGAGTAGGTTGTTGAAGGAGTCGTGACACATAAGAGTTATACCGGACGTTATCAGATAGCCTCATGTTTGTTGTTAAGAGAGACGTGCACGAACAAATTGGGAAATCAGTTCATAAAGGCATGACATGAAGGAGAAAATATCTGAATGAGCTAAGTTATAAGCGTACCACGATAGTACTTACAAAATAATAAGTAACACAAATTTTAAAATGAAAAATCTAAAAGTACAGAAACTAATGTCAATTGGACAGCCATTTCAATGAAACTATCTTAAATGGCCTCAAGTTGTACTGTGAGTCAAAACAACTCTAATCATTTCTAACTGACATTAATTGAGTATGTACAAGAATAAAAGATTAGCAGATTTTTGTTATTATGACATGTTTCAAACTCATTGTTATTTGGCTTTACAACATGTAGTTTCTTAATTCCTAGGACATCTAACTTCTAGAGTAATCGTATCCGTTTTACTTATTATCTCGTGACGTTCGCGCCATAACTACTACGTATATATTATCCTATTTTGATGTTTTAGTCAGTGCATTTCTGTGAGATGTGTTATTTTGGATAATTACCTCTCTGTCTCCTAATACTAGATACATATTAGTCTCACTATCACACTAATTTGGACTTACGTCTACTTACTTCCACTTAATACTGAATACTCCATTTATAGTAACTCAAGAAGCTTCTTCTAATGTATATAAGAATAGAATCTGAACAGAAACAATTCGAAAACATTTTCTTCAAAGCTGTGTCAGACCATCAGCAGAAAAGAAATTCTTTCTAAGGATATCATAAATGTTTTATTTGGTTTCCAGGATTCTATCATGAGCTGATGTTGGTTAGAGGATTACTGTAAAACCCTGGTTAACTGAACAGCTGTTTCGTCCCAGTTATGGACTCTTCGTTATTATGCACCCACTGAGGTATTCGTTTATTTGCATGAACGGCAGGGGTAAACATTTCAAAGTCGTCAGGAAGAACATAAGTCACCGAAAAATCCTAATAGAAGTCGAGCATAGTTCATTTAGAAACACTTATTAGTTTCTGGTCACAAGGTCGTTATTAAGGGATGTTTCTCAGTTATTTCACATAACTTGAACTCAGAGTCGAGGGTATTTATTGATGAAAACAGTCCCAAACTAGGACAAGACAGCTGCCTGGTACTTTCTAGTTTTCAGTGTTTCTATAGCTCATGTTGGTTCGTGATCTACCTCGAAATCAGTCAAATCCCTGCAAATTTATAAAACAAACTGATCGTAACGCAATTATAGAGAAAGTACAGAACGCCATCATCCCGCAAGTTTTATTTTCAGAATACCTTATTGAAAATGATCAAAAGATTTGGCTGTTGCAAAAGTGTAAAAGTCTGAGACTTGGATATCTTGGTGTATTTCCTTTGTATTATAGCATGCCAGAATTCCTGATTAATTTATCCTTACCAAAACTCTTTTCAGTAGTAGAAGCAGATTTTGTTGTTGAAGCAAGTGTTTATAAGGCTTAGAATCCCAGACAAGATCGTGATCAGAAAGTTTGACGAACAAATTATCAGAAAACTCAGAGCCTTAATAAATTATAGATAAGATTTTATTTTGATAAGTCACACAGTGTTACACAGTAATATTAACTGATGACGTTTCGAGTACAAATTATTGCTCATAATCCAATCAAGTTGTGTGAGTAACTTGATAAGATTATGAGCAATAATTTGTGCTCGAAACGTCATCAGTCAATATTACTGTGTAACACTGTATGACTTGTAAAAATAAAGTCTTATCCATAATGGAGTTATACTCTATCACAGTGTCCAAGTTTTATACTTATACCTTAATAAATTACACGCCTCATCCTCAGCAACTTTTGCTTGTAGCTGATTTGAAAGATAATATCCAAAGAGTAAAACGAAATTAGACTAGAACTGAAGTTAGTGAAGGCTAAGCTGGTGGATACATTTACTCCCCAGTGCTTTCAACATAGTTGAGTCTCACTAGACACAAATCAAGAGGATTACTCTTCAATCAGTCATTCTGCCGATTTGCTTTTTGGCTTACTTCTGTTTCTGAAAAGGTATAGACCAATAGACAGAATCGTTTCCGTTCGAAATCGCCACAATTTAACAGCATTAAACTTTGTTCTTACCACTTTTAACAGCTGATTCATTTGGCCGTGTATTCAGAGTCCCTGTTTCATTCACTGTTCGAATGGTTATTGACTACAGAAAACAAAAGAAAAGCTGAATTACTCTCTTATTTAGTGAGTGTAGTTGGTATGAAATTACGACTGATTATTCACTTAACTGTCAGTTGGTAATTATTTGCTTCTTTGTCAGCCAACAATGGAGTACAGAAGATGCGTCTCCGCCATAGCCAAATCCACCCCCATCTCCTGCTTTTTTCGTTCTGAGACTAGAAAGAAGTACTAGTCATTTGAAACACCTAGAAACTGACAACTAGGCAACTTTGCATATCGTAGTATACATTCAAGGAGTAGACATATGCAGGAAAGATTGATAACTTTTACTTTCGCAAATTTTAACAACATGAAATTAAGCTTACAGATAGATGGTTATTTTGTGCATAAAATGTTTGGATCCAATCTACTGGATGGTGTAAACTCAACCTTCTAATATATTGACACTTTCCAATGTACGACAAGCCTCGCAGAATTTCAGCTATCTAGAACACTTTATTGAATATTATTCTTACTCTGTGATGTGGGATATTATTCCGAAGGTGGGACTACTGACACACCTCTCCCTAAAAATATATGGGTTCACTGGATTGGTCACCCATGAACATACTACGATCATCTGTCTTTTTTTATCACCTCGAAGTTAGGCTCATAGAAGTTTGCATAACTGTTCATTAGGAATCGTAAAAATAAAAACCTTTTCGTAAAAGATATTGAAAGGCGAATTAACAACATCATCAAGCTTGAAGTGAAATGCAACAGTTTTAGACAAAAAATTAATTTTTAAGTAATGGATACAGGGGAATTTAACCAACACTAGTTAAAAAAACTATTGAAACCGCAAGGAGCAGTTATTACAGTTCTAGCAATAGATTCACTCATAAATATTTATTTTCACAGCAGTAGTGGCTGACTGAATTTCAGCACAGAGGAGTTCAAGATGCCATACTTCATTTAGCACAGAAGACCAAAGAATGAAAAAAGAGATTCAAAAGTACAATAATAAGCAAAAGTGTGACAGAGAGAGAATGAATGCATGAAAGAACACTAAGGTTTCAGGGATATGGGGATCATAAAGAGTGAGTGCATCTGGTCCATCGAAAACAATTTTGAACCATATCTACAATAGTTTCCAGCTATTGGTTGTTAGTTTACCGAGGACTCCGATCAGGATGCTTACACCCATCTACATGGCTCAAACTAAGTGTTAAAGATTTCATGGACTGATGCAAGGTTTTGATTTGAGCACATTTAACTATTTTTCAAACCGATCCAATATCAGCTAACTCAGTCAGTCGAGAAAGACTATAGATTGGTATCAGCAACACTTCTCCTAGTCATCTCAGTCAATTCACCTTCACAACATCATCGATCGACTTACCGTCCTTACCTAATATTGTACGCCTAACCTCACTATTACTGAGTGTATTATGATGCTTAACACTGGAGATAGAATGCAGACACCTATGATCGAAGACACCTAACCTTTTCATGTATTCCACTCTCAATGGTCATGTTTCAGAGCCATAAAGGAGGATTGAGCGGACTGCTGAGCAGTACACACACCCTTTGGTTGACGGCCAGCCAGATATCACGTCTACTAAGCCAGAGACGACGTAAACTGGCATATGCTAAACAAGCCTTCTGTATCCGTGCTGAGATTTCGTCAGCGATCTACCCGTTAGCATTGGCTGATGCAGCTTTCAAAATAAGTGAAGCGGTCAACGTGCTCTACCACTTTACTCCCTATTTCTAGGCTAGGAGTAAATGTAGTCCAATCCAATCCTGTAGCATCATCTTATATTTGGCGGGAGTGGATGTCATGCTAAACATTTGAAGATTGCAGCTCAAGATGTTCAGAAGACTCTGCTGGATTTTGTCAGCGTCCTCACCTGGAAGGACTATATCATCTGCATATTCTAAGTCAACGAGATTATTCCCTGATGGCAACAAGTCAATCCCTGAGTCACTGAAGTCACTTAGGGTTAATTCCATTAGCACATCTATGACGAAATTGAATAGACATGGGGATAGTGGGGATCCCTGACGGAATCACTAACTGTCACCACTTCAGATGTCAACCTGCCGTAAGCCCTCACTTGGCTGCATGAGTTCGAGTAGAGAGCCTTGACCAGTGCAAAGTATTTTCTCGTCATTCCCTTCAAAGCCAAACATCGCCATAGTACCTCTCGGTTGACAGAATCGAATACTGCCGTTAGGTCAGGAAATATAGCGACTGTTGGACGCCGGTAAGTATGCGCATATCCCATTCCAGAATTTGCTGAAGGGTGGAGATATGATCAATACACCCTCTTTCTGGTCTAAAGCCTGACTGGTTCTCTCGTGTTTGTTCCTCCAGTGGACCGCTTAGTCTACGCATGATTATATAACCCAGAACTTTAGATACCACCATAGTAGTCAATCTAATTCCCCTGTGATTATCATAGGAAGACTTGTCTCCCTTCTTGTATATCGGGATAATCGCTGACTTACACCAACCCGACATGACTTCCTCTGTCTCCCAGACGCTTCTTAGTACCTCAGTTAACTCAGACAGTAAATTGTCTCCACTATCCTTAAACACCTCCGGAGTCATTCCATTAGGTCCTGCTGCTTTGCGTCGTTTCAGACTAGTGACAGCCTTAGTAACCTCAGTTAGGGACGGAGGACCTGTGTCTATACCCCATTCATGAAGGTGTTAGATGTTCGGTAAGTTGAGAGCGACTGTAGGCCAATAAAACTGCTCCTCAAAGTGTTCTTTCCAGCGTTCCAGTTGTCTATCCTGGGAGCTAACTATGGTGCCACTTTTCTCAGAGATTGTTTCACTTATCGCTTGCCTTTTACCACCTGTTTCCCTGATAAGCCTGAATAGTTGTCTGGTGTTGCCAATCGCCGATGCCTTTTCAATCTCTTTCGCTTTTGTCGCCCACCACTGTTCACGGTCATTACGAAGGCTTCTTGTTAGTTTGCGTTTGAGTAGCTTTCGCTTCTCATCACATTCGGAGCTCGCCGGAATCAATCTTCTTGAGTCAATCAGTTCGGATGAGGTGGTAGAAATCCAATGGCTCCTACTAACTTTTGGCATTAGGCTATCAACAGAATTTAAAGCTGTGTTTACAGCTAGCTGTATGTTGTGCCAACCAGGCTTCCTCAGGAGGAGTCCTGCTGTCGACCTCAGATACACGTTTTGATATTTCTTCCTTAAATAGGGAGTCAAAGTCTCGATTTAGTTGGGGGCGCAACTGTTTCTCTGCCAGCAATTTCTTATGTCCATTTAGTCATAAGCATAAACGTGCGCGAACCAGGGTGTGTTCTAGAAGGAGCGGCAGTCTTCTACTCACCCTCACCAACGATACCCTATCGCTATGTGGTCTATCTGAGTCCAGTGCTGATTTTGTAATGAGGGTCGAGAGGTTACGCAATGTCTCTCTTTGTTTCTGAAGTTATGCTGATTAGGAACAGATGATTATCTGAACAGAACTGCAGAAGACGATCACCGTTGTCCGTTCGTCGGCAGGGAACTCCATACGTGCCACCTACATACTTCACAGTCTCTACGACTTCCCTACTTGGGCATTGAAGTTGCCTGCTAAAAGAACTATATCTGCGAATTTTACTTTTTGCAGCAAACTAGTCAGTTTCAGGTAGAATTCATCCTTCAGTTCATCTGAACTGCAGTCTGTCGGGGCGTGAGCGGAGAATACGAAAAGACAACGACGGATGACGTCGTCCCTGCTTCTCCTAACGGACCCGTTCAGATGGACCGCATACATAAGACTATCTACTGGGATCCACTCAAGTAGGGACTTTTCCGCCCTAACAATCAATGCTATCCCTACACCAGCGAGTCCTCGTGAACTAGTTGAAGGTTCTCCTGACACCCTTAAACTGGATTTTGCAGATTCACCTTGTTGGCTGGGTAAGGTTAAGTAAATGACCACACTCACGTCTTGTATGCGTATCTCCGAAACACAACATATATCCATGGCTCAATATGCCAGAGTTTCGGTGAGTGATGCCTGTAGTCCGATTTGGCAGAGGGTCCTGACGTTGAATGCTCCTATGTGAAGTTGGCGACGTGGCTTTCAAAGGCTATCGGGGGTGTTTCTATGGCTGTCATCGTCGTTTGTGGTCTCAGAATGAAGTGGAGATGACTCACTAGCCTGCAAAATAGTACTGACTGTAGCAGGGAAACAAGTAGAGAAAGGTTATGTGGGTAAAGGAGAATGATTGTCAGGAAGGTATCACTGTAAGATGCCACAATGCAAAAATGTACACACAAAATAAGAGGACAGAATAGTAAAAATAATATTCAACTAATTCATTAGCCCTTATTAAACTTGAAAAATGCGAAACACATGTCAGATATCTCTAAACCTCTCAGGCAGTTCACAAAACTTTTCATTTCATTAGTGTCTTTTCGTGGCAGAATTACATCAGAAATATGCTCAATAACTGGTATAGGACTGTGTGGCTTATATGGGTTCTGTATTAAATTTATGGTAGTACATTTGTCAATGTGGTTAAGGCACATTAAATAAAGACAACCTTATTTGTAATATCACCTGTATGTGTGCTGTTTCCAAGTGTGGTAGTTAGAATGATTCACTGATTCAAAGAGTGGTTACTCTTTCTAAGGGGGTATATTTAAATATCTTTAAAAATCACTGAAATAACTGACCCCTGACATACCTGGTCTTCTTTTGATATATCACCCATGTGATGTGTAGAACGACCAGATGAACAATATTTCCTTGTTTTTTGTTTCCATCTTTCAAGAGCCTTTTTAAAAATGTAAATTAAATTAAATTGTGAGCAGAAATAAGCTTAAAGTTACATATCAATAATGGAATGAATTTTCTCTAAGAAATTTAAACTAAATTAAAATTTGCATTAGAAAACAGGTAACCAGTTCACTCATGTATCTGTCGTCGTACACTAGACATCCATTGAATACAGCAGTAGTTTATTTTTATCCTACTACATGACTGTAGAAAGAAGGCATAAGTGGTTGACAGTTTTGAAAAGGCTTTGCAAGTCAGTCGCTGTAATGACCATAGCACTTCGCCTGTGTAGTAGTGGGATAAAGACAAGAGTTGACGATCAATTTTGGAGGTTGCATGCTTCACTCGAGTGAGTGCGTTACGACATCTTTGACGTAAGCTTACCAAACACCTGTATCAGCTGAAGTCATATAAGAGTGGAAGAACGTAGTAGATGAGTTGACTAAGAATGTTTCCAGTTCATAAAATCCACGACAGTTTATCTGAGGTATTTGGAAAAGTATTATCTGTGCACTATGATTTTCGGCAGTCGTGAAAATAGTGATTGAATATCCTAATGACTCAATGATTGGTTGACACCAGCCTGTGACCAAACTTTAAAAAAAACGAATCAAATCTCTGCAAACTAAAATTTAAAAATTAATCTAATATTCACTGGTTACCGACAACAGGACGAGGCTATCTGAAGTTCGTGAACAGTGTGGTCTGCCAGATTGACTGTGAGGACAAATACTCTCCGAAGACATATGCTAATGGTGGTGCTATAGTTCTTGAATTGACAGAAGTTAGAATCCATGGGCGATTGAATCCCACTCAAGTGGCTGAACGACCGCCTGGCTCCCCTCGTAAAATGAAGCTCTTGGATTCGATCCTTGGCAGTGGCGCCTAATTGTCGTCTGGAGTCTTGCGACTTATAGTCTCTGTTCTTTTTTATTTCCTTAGTGTGAATATGCAATGTGTGGCAGTTGAAACAACTTCAATGTTATTGTGGGCCTTTTATTAATAATCCCTGTTTATCTTCTGATCTGATCCAGGTTTATTTAAATATCCTCAAAATAAATTGATTTGTAAGGCAACATGATACCAAGTGTCTTATGAAGTTAAAACAAGCAATAAAGGTTAATAAAGCAGGATGACTTAATGAATTCATCGAATTTCGGTAGAACTCGTCAGCTGAATACTCTACATGCACGGATATATATACTTTTGAAATTACATTGGGAGATATAAGACTGATAAGTAAACAAACTACATTGAATTAGTTATGCAGAAAGATAGATACGAATGTTTTCCAGGTCACGTTCAAATAGATAAGGGGAGAGAGAGTATGAGAGAACAAAATTAAGACAAATTGCATTACGCTTCAATTACATCACTTAGATAAACAATTAGACATTAGAGAATATAAGAATTGCAGACGGAGTAATATCAATAGTAATAGTTATAATAACAATAATAATAATAATAGTGTTGAAGTGAGTTAAGATAATCCTACTGATAAAGGATAGTTTTAAATGAATCAAGAATAATGATAATAATAATAGCGATAATAATAATAATGAGGTAGAATTATAAGTAAAACGTGTTACCATGGCAGATTCAGAGTCACGACCATCTCCTTTTGTACACAGAGACCTGGTTTATAAACTCGAATTGCACAAGCCTCTGCGATTGCAAGCATCTTCTTGCATCTTGCATCTTCGCACCTGTCTTCCTGCATGACTAATTCAATGTAGTTTGTTTATTTAGCAGTCTTATATCTCCCAATGTAATTTCAAAAGTATATATATCCGTGTATGTAGAGTGTTCGGCTGACGAGTTCTACCGAAATTTGATGAATTCATTAAATCCTGCTTTATTAACCTTTATTGCTTGTTTTAAATTCGCATCGGGAAATAAATGTTTTCAAGTCTTATGAAGTGATGACATCCAGCTCGATACTCTATAGTATAGGTTAGCCAACCACAATCTTTGAAGATATAAGTAATTTCTAATTTAAATTGTTTTATTTTTTTTTAGTGCATCAACCTTTGAATTTTTCTCCAAGTTAACCATTATAAGTGATAGATAGTCCAAGATGAACTACTATAAGAATAATAAAGACTATTTCCCTGCGTATATTTCTTCAACCTTCTTCAACCTCCATCGACAAAGGATTCTTTGTATGTAAAAGTTTTACTTCTTTAAATTCCTAATTTCACACTTGGGTTGATACTGACCACTTACACTGGTATTACGAAATAGGCTATTGTTTGTTTTTCCTATCTGACTTAGCTAGTTGCGTTCAAAGTCTCGCTATTTCTTTCAGGATACCTAAGTTTTGGTGACTACTGTTTGAGAGTGTTGTCTGTTCCCATATCTTGTATTTTATAAGTAATTTTTTAGGGAAATATTTTTAGACAACAGCTCACTGGGTGAATATCTTCTTGAACGGTGTAAAGTTTCTACAGCCATATGACTTCTGATTTCTTTCTCACCTGAAGGTCATATGTCAAACTAAAGGAACGTGGAGAATTCACATATCTGTGAAGCAGCAACCACTACTGATTTCAGAACTTAGTGATCAGTATTCCAGGATCTTTTTCTATTTTTTCTAACACTTTTTATACGAAGCCATGCTAGCGTGTGTATACTTGCTTGAGATGTAACTACATCAGTGTTATAGAACACAGTTATTGCGTAACATAATTTCCACTGGGACTGCCACAGGTATTCAAAATTACAGTAAAATTTATAATCCATATTGCCGATCAGTAAACCTACTTTTTTTCTTTTCTCCTCTGCTTTATCTAATTTCTCCATCAACATTTCTGTAGTGATTTTCGGTGTACGATCTAATGGTTCCAATCGCTACAAAAATTCCATTTTAATTAAAAAAAATCAGTACATTAATTCTCACTTTCAAATGTTTGGGTAATGGACATGTCTGTAAACTATCTAGCATTACATCGTCTGATTCATTCAAATTGATATCAAATGAAATAAAACCTTTTTTATTTTCTGCATTACACGGACTTGTCTGCAATACTTTATTACAGTCTGATTTTGTTGTTAAACGTATCGGTGATTCTGTGCATTTAAGTAATCCTATTTCTTCTTCATCAATGTAACCTTCATCAATCAAATCATCGACGTGATCATCATCATCGTCTTCTCCATCAACTTCTGATCCACTTGTTATTTTTTCATCATAATCTGTACTTATCGGTGTGATTAACTCATTAGTAGATCCTCTTTTATTTGGCGGTGTATTTACTTCATGTTTTCGTGAATTACACTCACCATCAGGACTTATTACATTTTCTGGATTAACACAACAGTGAATTTGAATAGGATCATTGCTTAGCGTTTTACTAAATCCACAACCCATGTGAAAATAATTGTATTTATATTGTAATTATTTATATATGTATATATTTTTATGTTCTACTAACTAAATATTATTCTTGAAATTACTCTACTATTAATAATACTACTATTATTATATATTCCACAAATTTTCTCTAAAGCATATATATTCGATGTGAGATGTTAGGCGCATGTATTGATTTTTCATCTTTTGAATGGAATAGTATTATAAACAAACAGCCTTGATTTATTATTACTGAACGATAGATCGCAGTTTATGAGTCAGGGAATACTTTAATTCATTTACGTCAATTTTGATAGATTCACGGGAATCGTTTATAAAAAACTGGATAGACAAATGTTGTTTAACACAAAAACAAAAGTTATCTAGATAGAAAAAGATCAGAGTGGAAAGTAAATATCAAAAGTATTGTTTATTGGTGTGTGAAAGTTGTTGAGTCACTCCAAGAGTATTAAATACATAGGGATGGGTGTGAAAAATATGGTGGAAGATGATTGAGACTTTTGTCAAAAACTTTGGCACAAAAAGACATTATTGTCCTTGTCAATGTACAGTTGAGAGATTGACATGTAGATCTGTGTATTAATGACGAATCATATGAACATACTTTTTGAGTGTGGTACTGTGAAACCGAAAATACTATCTGAAATGAACTGCCAGAGGCTGTTTGCTGTCCAGAATGGGGAAGATATTAAGAAAAGACTCCGACAAATATGGACAGAGTTTAACCATGTCGCTATCACGGGAAGAGATTAACACAGATGAAACCGATGAAATATGGTGAAGGAAACAAAAGAAACATTTGGGAGATCCCTTCAGAGAACTCTTGAATTGATCACCATCTGCAACTCAGTCGGAAATAACTTCAATAGTCCCAGAACTGCCAGTGAACACCATCCCTCTGACACAGGCAAAAGTCTTGAAAATCATAAAGTTGCTAAAAGCAGGGAGAGTGATAGGAGCAGAAGAAGTTGCTCCAAAAGTACTGAAAAAGGATCCAGAGGTCTCACTAGATATGCTCACACCACTACTGCTGAAGGTTAGGAGGGAAGGAAAGATACTCCCTGATTGAAAGAAGAGATTCCTCTTCAAACTCTTAAAGAGAAGCTATTTAAACCGTTGCAAAAAGTGGTGAGTCATCATGTTTCTGCCTACTTCAAGTAAAATATTAAGCAAAATCATCCTGAAGAGACTAAAAAATTTTATCCGTACTAAACTCCACCAGGAAAAAGGTGGATTCAGAAGAAGCATATTGTGCTCACACCAAATTGCAATGCCACTAACCATCAAGACTATCTATTACCACTTATCATATTCCGATTGTGGTGGACTAGATCATGTAACGGGCATATGTTGAACAAACAAGAAAACACTGATAGATGCCAACGCCATGGATGATTTATGCCCATTGTCACACGAATTGGATGTTATGCAGACGAAAACCAACAATTTGATACAAGAGACTGACAGTGAAGGCAGGAAAAACATCAATCACTACTAGTTAGAGACATTTACTGGAATTCACCCCCTTCACTTATCTACCCAGGCGGCACAGGTTACGATGTGAAAGTCAGGATCGAAAAAGCAAGACAGATTTTCATTACTCTGAAATCAGTGAGGGGACCTACTTCACTCAACGAAAGTAAGAAGATCCCAGTGTTCAACACTAACATGGATTCACTGCTGCTGAGCGTGCATCGACAGAAGAATTCTCAGTAGGTCACTTCAGGATTTTATCAACAGATATCTCGGCTCGCTAATGAAAATCAAGCGATCAGACAGAAAAAGTGGATAGTATGAAGCTGCAGACACGGACCAACTAAGAACCTTTCACTCAATCATGATATATGCAGGAGGAAATAGGAATAGATTGAACGTACTCTTATGAGACCGTCGAGTGAAATGAATGGCTGTGTTTTAAGGTGTGATGGGGGTGGGAAGAAACGAGTTGGACACCGGAGGGTGACATAGTAGAGATCGTATGAGAAGGCGATGAAAGTTGATGGGCCATCATGAGGACAACTAAAGATGGTTGAAGAGAAGAGAGTAAAACGGGGATGTGCTGCTGAAGCCCTTGCTATTTCGAGTCATCGACCGATATCTGAGATGAGAATGACAGTTGCATCTTCGTTATTAGTACATAAATTATCTGCTGAAATCTAATGTCTAACTGCAACATATTCAGCTATTCAATTTAGGATTAGGTATTAAATTTATCCAGACCATGTTGTTTTTTGTTTAAGTGATGTGCTTGAGTATAACTTCCGCGTTGCTCTGTATCTTTAACCATTATTCTGAAGATTAAGATGGACCCTTATGAAGGGTATGAATGTCAAATTTCCTTCATTTACATTGCCGAACAAAATGCCAAGCTATAAAAGAATTTGTCTTTGTTTGACAGGAGGGTAAAAAGGAGCGGTCTAAATGCAATGATAATCATCATCTTTTCTGTCCTTTGAGTTCTCGGGGAGACAAAGGGCTTCAGAAGTATGTCCTTAGCGTATTCTGTCCCGTTATGTCTCTTTTAGCTGGCTCCACAGCTGACCACACCCTTTCATTTCCTCTTCACATAATCTCCTCCATGTGACTCTTGACTTCCTTTATTTTTTCCTGTTGATGGTTGTAGGTGCTTTTTTTTGCCGGTTTGATATCTTCATCGCTTTTGTCTCTTCTATGTTCACCTGAAGTCTTGATTTCGCCGCCTCTTCTTTTAATTTGTTGGTTTTTGTTTGTAAATCTTTTAGTTTATGGGAAGTTAGACATAAATCATCCGCGAAGTCCTTATCTCATAGGGTCTTTTCTCCTTTCAGCTTATGCTTGTCTTTTAACTCCTCATGATCTTCCGTCTCACACTGTCGAATCTCAATGTTGTTTGAAGCTGAAAGGTTACAATGCAGTTCCTTATATAAATTTGGAAAGTCTTCTGAAAATTACTCGAAGTCATTAGCGTTTTTATTTGGTTATTGAACTTTAATTTTAAGTTATATTTTTAACTACTGATGGCTGTTTAAGTAGTATGGTAGTTATCAAAGTTTTGGGAATGGCAATTGCAATTTACTGTAAACAATTAGGTCAACTAGATATCAACGTTTCCAGTGTATTACACCAGAATATCATTTTTTCTAGTTTACATTGAGAATTTTCTGTTAGAATCTCTTCGAAAATGTGTCTGTCCATTCATCAAAATAATTTTATTTACTTTTGACTAACAGTAAGCGCTGTTATACTACAGTATATTTATCCCTTCTCTGTAATGAAAGCAAATTTGTAATGAATTTCCCATCAAGTAATATTGGAGAATTTGAGGATATAACCTGGTAAAGCTTCGTAGTACAAATACTACTGACACAGTGGAACTAAATTCATAAGAACTTTATTGTTTGCTTCTATTTTGCTTATAGTTTGTAATATGTACTCATAGTTTCCCTTGTAAACTAAAATAACCTAATCAGAATTTTAAATTCCTTCTCTTCGTATTATTTTGACATATTTTCCATCCTCTTTCCGTTTCTACGTCTTCTGTAGGCTGGACTCTTCAAAACTTGTGTATTTAGTGTTGGCCAAGGTTCTTTAGCATGTTTATATTCCATAATGCTTTCACCTGTGTTAATTGTTGGTGGAACCTCGCTTTGTTTTCGGTGTCGTTGCTACTGTGATGGAAAGATTGAACATATTAGCGCGTTAGCTTTGCACCACTTGATGTCAAGTATTTTTACCCTTCATAGAAAATGTTAATTTCTAAATCTTTATCAACTGAATAAGGTTCCCAAAAGTAACAACTTTTCACATCCCATGCCATATGTGTATCAGTCTTCTACACGTATGTTAGGAGAACGGCAAATGAAAATTTTTAACTCCCTTCTCAGTGCGTTTTCAGACAAAATTTAAAATCAAAGAAAAGGAAGGTGACCGTCATCCGTAAAGCAGAATAGATATCCGGGCGTATGATTACCGTGAGGCCAAGACATGTGGTCTGCAACAAGTCCAAGTAGTTCACAAATGACTACATCATATCCGAAGTGTACATGTAAATGAGGGGAAGTATTTGGCACTCTCATGCGATGGTGAAGGTAGGTTTATCCAAACTCCTTGAAATACAGTCAAATTCCAAAACCTTTACAAACGCAAATGGTAGGCATCCTTCTTCGTCCATATCAGAGCATATTATTGATATGAATCATATGGTTGAAATCAAAACATCTTTCATGATTGAGTACAGAAGTGAAGAAAGACACATTAAAATGAGATAGGACGACAGCATTTTATTAAACCAGGCCCCGTCTCCAGTGTACGCAAAAACAGTATTAAAAAGATTAGTTTTATCATTCTTCCTCTTAAGCCGCCTTTTATCTCTTGTGTTTGAATTGACCTTCTATTTCTTCATTTTTATTTTGACTGAGATAACAATTAGATGTGTCATTAGGTTCATAGAAATTTAGTGGGTGAATACGTCACCTTTTTTAGGTAAACTTCATCTTTCGGTAACCCTGTTCAAATTAGTTAGCTTTGTTAATAAGACTATTTCAGTGTATATTTCACCGCTGACCATCATTGGTTAAGAGAATCAGAGCAGAGCGAAACAGTCTTCTCATCCTAATTTGTGGCTCTTCAAGAGTGCTCACCAGTGATTCCACTAGTTACTGAACCTTAGGTTCTTCAAGTAACTCACGGAGCCTTTTGCTATACATCTGGGAAAAACTGAACTCCGTATACAGGAAAATTTTCCTTCAGTCTGTTTCACCACCTTGATCTGAAAATACTTTATTTGGTCATGACTGGACGATGAATCCAGAGGGCGTGTTTCGTCCTGTTTGAGACTCCTCATCCGGATGTACTTGTATACCAGTATAGAGTAGTATGATAATGTGAACGTATATATAAGTTTCATTTGTTTCTGTTTTCCTTTATTGTCATATTTGCCACATATCTATTCAGGTAAATTCAGCTGTATATATTGAGAGCTTGAAGATGAAATAACAGTTAGCGGTATTTATATACGC